GATTTGGCGAAAGAATAAAATTCAGAATAAAGGCGGAGGAGTATGAGCAATTACCTTTCTTGGATGTTGAGGAAATTCGCTAAATAGAGAAACTCAAGAGGATATGAATAAAAGCATGGTATCGAAGAAGCTTAATGCATATATTGATATTGGAGTACCTTTACTTGGTTTGAAATTGATAACTATTTTGTTAACTGCTACTATAGTAATGGGAGAATGAAAGACTTCCTTAGGTCAATGAATATATTAGAAAGGACGGCTGAATTCATTATGGAGCTATAAAATGACAGTAAATTACGCTTTTAAATGTCCTAGTTATTAAAGAGAGCAAATTGGGTAAGGATGTATATAGGAAGCCCATAAAGTCGGATTTTCTTATTAATTTATTCTTAAATCATATTTATGGTGTTAAGGTAGGGGTTGCGAAATCAATGATAGTAAAAAGTTTACATCTGGCGGGCGTAAATCACCAGGATTAAGAATAGGAAAGACTAAGAAGAATCCTAGTTGAGAAAAATCATCCGTTAGAACTAAGTGTTCATAATCTCGATGTCCTAAGAAATGGGGAGGGAGGAAACTACTATTTAGAACAAAACAGGGAATTAGGCAATTCTACATCCAGGTTCCTGATGCTAGTTTATCGAATAACCAAAATTTTTCTTGATCATGCTATATTTTAGAGAATCTTCAGATCCTCTCTACAGATCAGATTGTTATGAGGTTTTGTGCATATGTAACTATCTATGAGGGAGATTCATATGGGAGGCTATCAGAGCACTAAACCATCTGTAAGGATTTAAGGGTTCGAAAATTGGAAGTTGCTGAACATAAGGTTACTACAGGACACCAGAAAGTGATCTAAAACACGTTTGGCTAGATATGAAAACTTCACAGCCAGGCGGAAGATTAAGACGTTCGAAATTAACAAAATAAAGAACATTCTGAATGGGGAGAACGAGAGTATAAAAGTAAACAAGAACTATCTTTAGAAATGGGTTGACCTCGTCGTCGCAACTTTGGGAACACACCATCTAGGTCTTCATATCTTCGAAGAACTATCTTTGGCTACCGGATAGCACCAATTAAGAGAAGGCTAGATTAACCTGGAGTCTGGATGGTCTTTAAATTGTCAACTGACTCATGAGTATTGGGCACACGCATCAACGAAGCTAAAGATACGCCTCAGTATTACAGGATCATAGGTTAGTTTAGTTACATAAAAAGATGTGATAAAATACGCTTCCATTTCATGCATCAACCTCACTAGTCTACATGCATGTAGGGCAAGCACAAAGTAGCCAACTAAACCATAGCATTCATTAAAATCGCAAAGTGAGGTATAAGAAGTAAGATGAATTTGAAACAGCCACCATTCTTGGTATAATGTTTGTCCGTAAACGATGGTTTCTGGCTCCGACGATGTCCGTTATATGATGTAAGAAAGGCCAGCATCGAAACATAAGGATCACAGGATAGTGAGCCGAGGTCTTCGCACGGTTCAATAATCACGAGTACAAGGCAACCCTTCTTTAGTATCCGATGAGACCAGTTTAGGAATATCTTGCACCCACCTTTCCAACAATAATCAAGAGAAGACTATTCAGAAAGAAATTATGTCATATGGTAATTATCAATTTCCACTCTCATTATAACTCCTTAGTGAAGATTGAAATAGTGAGTAGTTTGATCAGCAAAAGCTTACTGTGGACATGGAGTTTTGAGACGGTTACCCCAGAGATAGCATGCAAAAAAATATAGGAATTGTAAAAAGCAATGGCAACTTAAGAATTGTGAAAAAAAAATCAGAAATCAGATCAAAAATGGATCTGCCTGCCTTCATGCAGGCAGAATCACAATCGTTACTAAAAGTTAAATATCCAGGTGATCATAAGGGGTAAAGACATTCGTCACTAGTCTGCCGACACAACACGAGGTTGACAGACAGGATTGCTCAGGATCTTAT